CCCGGCAGCTGCTTTTTCCAAGCCCTCTCGGCCTCTTTCTCCTTCCTGCTTACATAGGGACCCCTGACCTGGGGGCCTGGCCGCTGTCCTGCCAGGGGACTCACGCCTGCGTAGATAGCACATCTCCGTGCCACGAAGGGTCAGCATGCATAGCTGGGCTGGTTGTGCATGAACAATTCAAGCTGCACGTGCGTGTGTTATACAGCTGCACCATGGGACACACTGGCCGCACCTTCACACTCCAGCTCCTTTCTGTCTCCTCAGGCTTCCTGGTCTTTTCAGTTCAACGGTGTCCATCTCCACCCTCCCCTGAGTGACCTCTTCCAGTCTGCATCTGTCCCGTCTGCCGTGGGGTCACCTCCCAGCCCCTCTGCCCTCTCTGTCTCAGCTGCCCGGGCTCGTGTCCTTGACTGCAGGATAAGCCCAGGCACTCCCGCCCCCCGGTCCGCTCCTTCCTCTATGCTCCTGTCTGCCCTCTGGTGCATCCCCAGCCTAGACCCTGATGCTGGTGGGTACACTGGGTCTGCACACACACTGGAAGTCGCACCCTCTTCACAGCCTTCTCCCAACCTGGGCCCAGTGCCCGGGTGCCATATTGGAGCCTCATGGCCCCAGTCCTCCGTCTCATCTGCGTGACCCTCCAGCCACCTCTCCCCACCTAGGCACTGCCCATGTGACCTGGCAGTGCCACTGGCCCTGCCTTTTTGGTGAAAGTCAGAGGTGAATTTCTTACCTTTTTTTTTGGTACCGAAGGTCAAACTCGGGCCCTTGTGCTTGCGAGGCAGAGGTGAATTAAAACAGAGGGAGGAGGACTGGGGGATTTAGCTGTGTTTCTGCTGCCTGCCTCACAAGCACAAGGACCCAAGTTCGATTCCTGGTACCAAAAAAAAGACAGAGGGAGGAGCCCAAAGAAAGTGAGCTTTCCTCTAGCTCTGTGCCTTTGCCATGCGGTGCCCCCTGAATCACAGGATGCACCCTCTTCTACTAGACAACGGGGTCCGTTATCCCTCTGGGGGGATTTCCAGAGGCATCCGGCCCTGCTGTCCACTCACTTCCGGAATGGAGGGAAGAGCTCTGCCAGTCTACAGAAGCTGCCCCTGGTCAGTTCTCCTCGGTGCCGGCCAGCAGACAGGGAGTGCTGAGCTCCAGGCCTGTGCCCAGCAGTGGGGGTGTGGGGGCCCCAGCACCGCAGTGAACACACAGGCCCGTGGCCGTGAACTGGGCCGGAGGACACAGGGTGGCCAAGGCGAGGCCCAGGGACCACGAGCTTATCCGCAGGTCAGCAGCTCGCCGGTCTTTACTTTCGCATGGCAGAGTGGCTCTCACGGATTCTGAGGCAGAGGAACGTGCGGCCCCCAAAATAATCACTACAAACCGGTTGCTGCGGCTGCTTCTAAATATTTTTAGGCATACACAGTCATTTAACTAAATATGTACAAACGCGCTTTTTTTTTAACAGATGGGATCTGCCGACACATACGTTCCCCAACTTGCCTCCGCTCCCGACAGCATGCTGGGCTTCCCCACAGCGGCGTCTGCCCAGCAGCGGTGCGGTAAACAGTCGCCCAGATCGGGGATGGGGATGGGACCAGGAGCGGGAGTCACCCAGGTTCAGCTGGCTATTTCTCTAACGACGGACAGCGAGGGCACTGCAGTTTTTTATCATCACAAATAGTGCTGGGGGAGGAAATAAAAGAGCCCCAAATACCCCATCCATTTGAGTAGAACTCGGCAAGAGGCCGCTTGAAATGTTTTTTTCCTAAAAAGGTTACGCCAATCCACACTCTGATAATGGCAGGTGATTTTGAAAATTGTATTAAAATGAGAGGCTGTAGAAGAACACCAGAAGCACAGCTCGCAGGAATCAATCTGATGGGGCCAGAGCGCGCGGCCTCTTTTCTTCTCATTGGCCCTCCTTCCCGGTGTCATAACCTGGGGCAGCAGTGACCCCCTGTCCAGGTCGAGGGTCCTCCCGCCCTTCCCCTCGAATTTATCTCTGCTCTGGCCGGGCTGACCAGTGGGACTGGGTGAGGGGAGGGCCCGAGGCTCTGGGAAGTGGAGCCTGAGTGAGATGGGCACCCCACCTCCTCCCAAACTCCCAGCCTATCCAGGGCACAGGCCACCAGATCCCAGCACATAGCACCCCGGCCCAGGCAGAGGGCTCCTGCGTGCTGGGACCACAGCTCTGCCCTGCCACGCCCAGCTCAAGCTTCTCATTTCTTGCCCGAAACCAGAACAGTCCATCTTGGGGCCACCTCCTCTCTGCACCCTAACCCCTAACAGCAAGTGAATCCCAGGGCCTGCTGCATTGTTGTCTGGGAGGGTGGAGGTCCTCACCTGGATCCCAGAAATGACTTTCTGGCCCATGGGAAGGAAACACGCCACTGTCTCAGGCACCAGAGGGATCAACAAACACAAACCTTTCACATCTGCCTCAAGTGGGGTGCCTGCGAGCCCCCACTGATGCACACATAGGAGCCCTGTTACAAAGGAGTTGTGTGTGGGAGGGACTTGCCAGAGCCTGGGCTGGCCGCAGACCTGGCCTCTTCCTTCTGGAGAGAACCCCAGGCTTCCCTGTGAATGCCATCTTTGTATGGTGTCCAGTGCCACAGGCCTGGCAGCCCTGCTGAGGTGGGGCCCACGTGTTGAGAAGGCTCAGGCCGTCCCTGAGGTGTGTTGTCTCCCCCTCCAGGCCCAGCACCACACTGATGTCCTCTGGGCTCCCCTGACCCTGGAACAAACACGTCTTGCCAGGTTCCGTTTTTTGAAAGATAAAACAATTAGAAATCACCTTCTTTTTGTTATTGTTTTGTTTTTTAAATTTTGAGACAGTCTCACTGTGATGCCTAAGGTAGCCTAGAACTGGAAATCCTTCTGTCTCAGCCTTCCAAGTATCTGGGATAACCACATGGGCCCCCATCCTGGCCAAATGGACACTCTCTGTGATACCTGGATGACACCTGGTGCCAGTGCTAGTGAAAGGCCAAGGAGCCTGAGTCTCTTGGTCTCTTCCCAGGGCTTTGTGGATCGCAGGAACCTAGAGCTTCTGGCTCATGGCAGGTCTGGCCCTGTCCCTGAGCGTGAGGGCAGGTTTGTGGGTCAACATCCTGCAAGGAGGCTGAGCATGGTCCAGGGAGCTACGGCCACTGGACAGACTGCACCCTGGGAGGCTGCAGGCTCAGGGATACCCTACACTCCAGTCTCCAAAACACGTCTCTCCCAGGCCTGCTCTGTTCCCGAGGACCTGCTAGGGCTCAGAGAAGTGGCAGGGTCCCAGGGGCTGGGAGATTTCTCCTGAGGACCGACAGCTTCTGGCCTGACAACGGAGAGAAGTGTGCAGGGCAAGCATTCTGTGACCTGTCCTGCCCATTATGAGCAAGATGTGCAGTGATGTTGGTTCCCAGGGGACAGCAGGGCTGAAACCAAAGCCGGGACCCACACATCCAACCCGCGCTGCCCGTCCTGCGCTGCTCCCTGGTGATGGGGACAATGGGCGGTCCTGCCACCTGTTAGAAGCGCTCGGAGCCCTGTAACAAAAGCAGAGTTGCTGCTGAGGCTGTCTGGGAGGTAGAGAGCTTCAGTGCAGGATCTGAAAAGGAGACATTTCCAAACTCTTGGGCTTCTACAAAGCCCTGGGATGTCTGGAGCCCTGCAGGCCAAGGATCTGCTCTGCCATTGCTGTTGCCGGCCTGTCCCTGCCAATGAGCTGCAGGTGGGGCCACTGTCCAGACTCACAGGGAGACCTGAAGGTCCCCAAGACTGAGAATCAGCTGTTTGGCTTCTGTGGTCTGAAGGAGGCCACTACTTCAGCACTGGGCCGCCTGAGTCTCTCAGACAGGGTTATCAGGCTGGGGCCTTCTCTCCTGATCACCCTCTGCCAGGCCACGGTCTCAGGCCTCCAGGTGGGCTGTAGGGTGCTCTGGGGCAGGAGAGCCTTTCTGGGTCCTGGCTGCAGGCTCAAGGGGCATGAATTCCTGATACTTAAAACAGCTCGGACATGGGAGCCAGAATACTCTTGTCCAGCATCTCAGCAGCTGGTAGCTTTGGCTGCAAATGAGGACCCATTGCTAGCTGTTTCTATGGCCTTGAAGGGGACGAATGTATTCCAGGCAAAGCCAGACCCACTGAAATGGCCAGACCTGATGGTCCCGGTTGCATGAACTTGAGGAAAGCATTTACTAGCTCCGGTCCCATTTCCTCTGCTGTGAAGCTAGGACAGCAAGCTGGCATGTAAGACTTGTGTATGAAAAAGACTCACAAATAGGGCAGTGGTGGCACATCCCTGTAATCCCACCACTCAGGAGGCTGAGGCAGGAGGACTGCTGCGAATTCAAGGCCAGCCTGGACTACATAGTTAGTTCAAGGCCAGCAGGGCCCTGCTCCTCAAGGCTGAAAATGTTGGCTCACACACTCCAGTAGGAGACGGTGGTGGCAGAAGCCGGCTCTGGCTCTTGGCGTCAGCCAGGGGCACTGAAAACCCACGGGGCCGGGGATTTAGCTCAGTGGTGCTGCCGCCTGCCTTGCAAGCACAAGGTGCTGAATTTAATCCCCAGTACCAAAAAAGAAAAGAAAAGAAAAGAAAAAGAACAGGTGAGAGAGTGGACTCTCTCCAAAACCCCAGGTAACAGACAGCGGGGCAGAGATGCAGGGCTGGGCCTGCCTAGTGCCTAAGCCTCCTGGTTTGCCACACCCAGCCTAGGGGACAGAAGGATAAGCCCCATGGTTTGTGCAGAAACCTGTGGCTTCTTGGGGGCAGGGCCCTGCGGACACCGGGTCCCATGTCCCATGTCCCATGTCCCAGGCTATTTTAGGGCCTCTGATGGGAGCACAGGAATCCAGGCACATGGGCTGAGGGGCTGGGACCACCTGTCAGGCAGAGGATGGGTGAACCAAGGTTGGGAAGCATAGAGGCCACCTCCTCTCCTTCCAATTTTAGACCCACAAGTGTCTTAGTCCAGGGCGCAGAGCTCTCCTGCCAGGCACTCCACATGCCCTATTTAGGACAGACCCTCGCCCCACGCCCAGCCAGCACCCTCTCCATCCATCATTACCCACCACAGATGGCGTCTGGGAAATGTGACTGGACTTTACTTAGGAGGCCTGGAGAAGGACAGAAACTTCTCCAGTATCCTGCTCTTCGAGGGCAATGGGCCAGAGTTGGGGGCTGGGGCCCAGGATTTCCCAGGGCACCACACAGCCAGAGACCTCAGGAGGAAGAGTTTGGAGACCCCTGGGGCTATAAAGGGGGAGCTGGGGCTGCAGCACAGGGGGGCTGTGGGTTGCTGGGCAGTGCACTGCAGCCATCTGTCAGTCTGGGACCAGAGTGACCAGGGGCTCTGGCGCTCAGCTTGGCTCTCGGGGGGATTCATGGATGCCCTGGTGGCTCCTTGATTTGTCAGCCCCAAAAGTGTGGGGCCCAGCAGAACTTCCTTAGCTCCTCACCCTGTCCCCCAGGGAGAGAGTCCCTCTGGGTGGGGCCCAGTGCAGCAGGGAGATAGGCCTCCGGAAAGGAACTTGTGGGGACACCTGGGCCCTGCCCTTCTTCAGAGCTGAGCCCCTTCTCTGGCCTGAGAATAAGAGCAGTTAGTGTCAACTTTGCCATCCATGCTCTGTCCTTGTCACCTAGGACCCACTCCCAGGCCCCTGCTTTGAGTCTCATGAGACCAGTTTTTGCTTACTGCTTCTGGGGACACTCACCTTCTCCCATGAGTGTTGGGTTCTGCCTCTTCCTTCCCTCCTGTCCCAAGCACCGTGGCTGATTTCTTGGAGGTTTTGCTGAGCTCGCAGGCCTGCCTGGGTGGTGTCTTGGTTTTTCTGGAGAAAGTGAGGGGAGGCGGATAGAACAGCAGGAAGCTCCCAGGAGCTGGCTGAGGCAGTGGGGTTGTTGGGCAGGGTGGGCAGCAGTCAGCTTGGAATGTGGCTGGGGAACTGCCACCTCTGGCCAGGGAGGAGATTTACACTCCTGAGTGAAAACACCAGGAAAGCGATACACATCTCTGCAAGAGTGGTTAGGAAGGTACTGGGCATTGCTGAAAGATGGAAAAGCAGTGTACAGGCCCTAAGGCTCCTTCCTGGGGGCAAATTCCAGGTGGTGGGTATGAGGGGAAGAGCCAGGCTGTTCCCGGAGGATCCTGGAATTTGGGAGCCAGAGCCAGGCATGTGGGGAGATCAAGGCAGCCAGAACTCTCAGGACAGCAGAGCACAGCAGTGAAGGGAGGAAGCCTTCCTGTCCAGAGCCAGCAGAGGACAGATAAGTGGGCGCAGGGAGAAAGCTACCCAGAGCTCCCAAATCCAGTGATAAAAGTGTTAGTGTTAGCTTTTTGGGGACTGCGTGGTCTGGGCCCTGGGTTCAATCTCTGACACTGCCAAAAGCAAACAAACAAGAGCAAAGCGAACCAAATAAAATCCCACCAACGTAAGCAATTCTAAAAGATTGGAAGGAACAGCACCCAGCATTCCTGGAAAGATGGGAATAGTGTTCATTTTCACCAGTCACCCTGTAAAAACCCATTCTCACAGGGCTGGGCGGAATTCTCAGAAGATGCTTAGCAGTGGGAGATAACCAACATGGGTCAAATGCTGCTCCCAGCCTGCCTCACAAATGACAGAAACCAGACCCCAAAGGACTGAAGTGCTTCCAGGTAACTCAACTGCACCTCAGAGCAAAGCTGAAGAGTATTTTGGGGGTGCTGGGGATTCAGTTCTGTGGTTCCACTGCCTGCCTGCCTCACAAGTACAAGGTTGTAAGTTCAGTCCCTGGTACCAAAAAAAAAAAAAAAAAAAAA